ATCAAAGAGTCTTCCTGCATCTCAGCTTCAAGATAGGCTTCTGAGGGTTGTGGTCTCCATTTGCAGCATTGACAAATATTCTATAATTGTCTTCTGGTGTTCTGATCCCTGTGCCCTCCAGGGAAACTGGTGATCTCCAGGGCTATGTCTGATTCCTTCTTTCCATTCCCTAAAAAATAATGCTGTGGGTGGGGTTTTTTCCTGTATTTTTGTGGACTTTCTTTGGTTCAGTGTTGTGGGAAAAATAGTTAGTGAAGATTCATCTTCATCTCCTGAACCACCATCCTCACGATGATGCAAGTGTAAGAGATGCTCAGAATCATTCTCTTGACCCTGCCTTTGACCTTGCACTGTGATATCTCCTCGTAAAAACTTTCCTGAGCAAGGGAGCCCATAGTCTCATCTGAGATATGAGCTTTTTCCTCTCCATATGTGACCCTGCCTCTGGCTTCCTGTCAAGTTCACCCATCAGGTTTTCTTGTCTCTCCAGCTCTCCCAGCTGGGCCCGGCATTCTTCATCATAAGCAAAGCAGCCTTGGACTTTAAGTCATCTTCAAAATGTGAAGTTTTGGGTTTCAAATGAGGTTTGTGTGCAATTTGGGGTTTTCTTTTCAATACAGAGTTGTTTTGAATATGTTCTCTTATCTCAAAAAGATCACCTGCCCCTTCTTGAAAATTTAAAAAAAAAAAAAAGATCGCCTGCCCCCACACCCTGTCCTGCAAATCCACTGTGAACCCAACTTCAGATTCAAAGTTTTTCATGGCTTTTTAAAAGTCATCCAGTGCTTTCCTTGCATGTTCCTTCCCGTGTTCTACTAGACCCACTATTTGCTTTGCAGAGCATGGACAAAACCACTTGCCCCCAAGGAGGACAGTGGTTTTGTTGATAGCAACAAGCCTTTCCGGAACAAAGGCCAGAGGCTCAGAAGACAAAGCCAAGTTCTTGGATGGTGTCTATTCGTTGCCAATGTGAGATTCGCTCTGGCAACTAGAGCCCCTCCTTTCCTGTTCTTGGAGCTTCACAGCCTGTGGGGCATCCCAGCTGCCTGGAGGTGGCCAGGGAGGCTGGCTGGGGGGCGGACACCCGGGCTCCATGGCTTCTGCTTCTGGGTGCGTGCGGTGCTCATCTCTTTTGGTTCTCTAGGCCCCAGACACATTGGCTTCTTCTGTCTCCAAACACTCACCACATTCTCTGGAAACAGGGCTTCCCACATGCCCACATCTCTGCCTGGTACGTACACCTGCACAAATTGTGGAGCTGGATCTTGCTACCCTTGGGTATCACTCTATTTTTCCCTTCTCAGGGGGACTTTGATGAATCCTACTCCATAATGGGCTCCCAGATATTCTCTCTCCTGACACTTCCTAAAATATGTAGTTGTAATTACACTTGACCTTTGAACAACGTGGGGGTTAGGGGCACTGGCACCCCACACAGTTGAAAATCTGCGTATAACTTCTGAGTCCCTCAAAATTTAAGTGCCAACATCCTACTGTTGACCGGAAGCCTTACCAATAACAGGAACAGTCACTTAACACGTATTTTGTATACTACATGTATTATACACTATATTCTTACAATAGAGTAAGCTAGAGAAAAGAAAGGTTGTTTTTTTTTTTAAGATTTTGTTTATTTATTTTGACACACAGAGAGACACAGTGTGAGAGGGAACACAAGCAGGGGGAGCGGGAGAGGGAGAAGCAGGCTTCCCATGGAGCAGGGAGCCCGATGTTGGGCTCGATCCCAGGACCCTGGGATCACCTGAGCTGAAGGCAGACGCTTAACGACTGAGCCACCGAGGCACCCCAAAAAGAAAGGGTTTTTAAGAAAATTATAAGGAAGAGAAAATAAATTTATAGTACTGTGCTGTATTTTTTAAAAAAAAAAAGAAAATCCACGTATGGGGCGCCTGGGTGGCTGTCAGTTAAGCATCTGCCTTTGGCTCAAGTCGAGATCTTGGGGCCCTGGGATGGAGCACCCCCCAGGCTCCCTGATCAATGGGGAAGTCGGCTTCCCTCTCTCCCTCTGTCCTTCCTCTCCCTCCTCCCCCGCTTGTGCTCCTCTCTCCCTTCTCTCAAATAAATAAATAAAATCTTTAAAAAAATCCACATATCAGTGGACCCACACAGTTCAAACCAGAGTCGTTCAAGGGTCAACTGTATTTACTTAGGATGCCCTACTAGACTCTAAGTTCCATGGGGATAGGGACCATGGATATTCACGTGGCTGCTCTTAACCAAAGACTCGCAAAGAACGGCTTGTGTAGAAGAAGAGGTCATATTAAAAGCCCAAATCCCGGGTGCCTGGGTGGCTCAGTTGTTTAAGCAACTGCCTTCAGCTCAGGTCATGATCCTGGAGTCCCAGGATCAAGTCCCACATCAGGCTCCCTGCTCAGCAGGGAGTCTGCCTCTCCCTCTGACCCTCCCCCCTCTTGTGCTCTCTCCCTCTCTCAAATAAATAAATAATACTAACAAATCTTTAAAAAAGATAAAAAATAAAAACCCAAATCCCAATTTCTCCTAAAATGTCAGTAAATGAGGCTTCCCTAGTTAGGACCACCAGCCTGTGATGTTGTGATTTATGATAAGAAATCTATACTTGATCTTCTTCCAGTTCCTGGCACAGAGTTCCTGAAACTTTTGGAGTTCCCTTCCTTCCTTTCTTTCTTCCTTCCTTCCTTCCTTCCTTTCTTTCTTTTTCTTTCTTTCCTTCTTCTTTCTTCCTTCCTAGGAAATAGAAGTATATTGAATACACCGCAAGGGAGCTGAGGGCAGGACAGCAAAGGAGAGACTGTCTGCCTGGAGTTTCTTAAGTGATGAGAGCTCTAGAGGTGTCTTTGGCTATTCATAATAAGCCCCCAGATGACCACACCCATAATTGCGGGGTGTGGTAGGCACGTTGCTGGTGGGCAACCCCTCCTGCTTCCTTTCCTGCCCTGTAAGAGGATTTCTTTCATTTCATCTGGGAGCTCTCTGGGTCCCCACGGTCAGCATGACCCAGAAGACCTTCAGCACAGATACCAGAAGGAGCCGCTGGCAGACTGCCAGTCCCACAGGGAACTAAGTCACAGCCAGATTTCCTGCCCTCTGCCCTGGAAATTATTGAGGTGTGGCTCACCTTGCAGCCCCTTCTAGAATTAAACATGTGTTCTCTTCTCAGTGGCTGGTTCTCCTTATGCCTTTTGAGGAGAAACAGCAGCTCTGATGATACACCCCCTGGAGTGACCCCTTTTCTTTTTTTCTTTTCTTTCTTTTACCTCCACCAGAAGAGAGACCTTGCCTGAGAGGGGCTCAGTCGGTTAAGCATCTGCCTTGGGCTCAGGTCATGATCCCACATCAGGCTCCCTGCTCAGTGGGGAGTCTGCTTCTCCCTCACCCTCTGTCTCCTGCTTGTGCACTCTCTCTCTCTCTCTCAAATAAATAAATCTTAAAAAAAAAAAAAAAAAAGCCTCCTAAGAGCTGAGGATCCACTTCACTTCCTGGGCTTCTCTCTATGGCTGTGTGAGAAAGTTCTAGAATGAGATGAGGAGAGAAGGGATGATGAGGTGTGATGGTTGATCTCATGTATCAGTTGGACTCGTCAAAGGATGCCCAGACTCAACGTTATTTCTGTGTGTGTCTGTGAAGGTGTCTCTAAGTGAGATCAGCATTTGAACCAGTGTACTCAGTAAAGCAGGAGGCTGTCCCCGATGTGAGTGGGCATCTTCCAGTCCATCGAGGGCCTGAATAGAACAGAAAGGGGGAGGAAGACGGGATTGGTCCCTTTCTGCTTCCTGTCTGCCTGCTAAGCTGGGACATTGGTCTTCTCCTGCCCTTGGACCGGGCTTTACACCACTGCTCCCCTGGTTCTCAGGCCTTTGGACTCAGACTGAGTTACACCACTGTCTTTCCCGGGTCTGCAAGATGGCAGCTTGTGGATTGCTGGGTGCACGATTTTGCAAACGTCTGGCAGATCGTGGGGCTTCTCGGTCTCCATACTTGAGTGAGGCAATTTGTCATAATAAATCTCTTCATATATATAATATCAGAACCAATATCCTATTGGTTCTGTTTCTCTGGAGAACCCTGATTAACGTAAGGACATCAGTCTTCATCTGAGCATCCTGACAGCCTCCGGCTGCACAACCTGCAGGGCTTTGTGGGCAGCACGGAGCAGAGAGTAGGCCTCAGGCCTTCCGGACGTGCTTGGTGATGGGGTCAAACGCAGGTGGGGCAGGGATGGGACATACAGAACCTCTGCAGGTGCAGGGACTGGCCAAGGAGTGGGCTGAGGACCAGTGGGACGCTGCCGTACCCGCTCCCTGGGCAGACTCTTGTGAAGAGGAGAGAGGTCAGGAAGCTGGGGCCAGGCCCCTGCAGGACCCGATGGGGGAACTACGTCTGCCGCCATCTGCCCTGGGCCGCACCTGCCCCCCGCCCCCTGCCCAAAGTCCCTCCTGGTGCTTCTTTCTTGGAAGCTGTGAGTCACGGCTACTTCTTTCTAGGAGGAAAGGGGGCTGGGTTTGGAGGGAGGGAGCAGCAGGAGCGTGGAAGGGGACAGAGTATCCCACTCACCCCAGGGCCCCAGCATTTTCTGCTGCACAAAGCAGGTGTTTTCACCACCCTGAGGTTGTGTTCTCTCTACTGGTTCACCAGGCATGTAAATTTGGACAAGAACCATATTACTGTGGGGTTCAGCTAGCTCAGGAGGACGTTGAGGTTACTCTACCTCAGGGACCCAACCTTGCAGGCTGGCCCCCTGGGCACTGGCCCGTGAGTTTCCAGCAGGTGCTTCCTCCGCGAACGCTTCCATGGGGCCAAGGCAAGAGCCACAAAGGCAGCCATGGGACCGTTCCCCAACCGACGCTGCAAACTCTAGAACGTTCGGGATGGTGGTGGCCAGGAAGCAGGCATGCAATGGCTCCACCCCTGGGAGGGCACAGGAGGGTGCTGGCCCAGCCCTGAGAGGGCCCCAGGAGCCGTGGCAGCACAAAGGAGACAGAGCCCTGCACGTCTACACCATGTCCTGGACTCCTGTCCTGCTCGCACTCCTCGCCCACTGCATAGGTGAGAACACCCCAGAGCTCACCACCCCCGGCCCCATCCCCTGCCCTCCTCTGCTCCAAATACCCATGTGCTTCTGTGTCCCCAGGCTGTGGCTCTCAGCCAGTGCTGAACCAGCCGCCATCCATGTCCTCATCCCTCGGAACCACAATCCGCCTGCCTTGCACCTTGAGCCGAGACCATGATGTCAGCATTTATAACATCTACTGGTACCAGCAGAGGCCCGGCCACCCGCCCAGATTCGTGCTGAGATATTTCTCCCACTCAGACAACAACCAGGGCTCCAAGATCCCGCCTCGCTTCTCCGGATCCAAGGATGTGGCCAAGAACACGGGGTATTTGAGCATCGCTGAGCTGCAGCCTGAGGATGAGGCTACGTATTACTGTGCTGTGGGAGGCCAGGGCATGGAGAAGGTGAGGGAGATAAGGAGGCAAGAAAAGGAGCCTACTGTTCCAGGGTCCCAGGCACCCCAGGACAAACTTACCATGAACTAAAGACAGACGAACATGCCTCCTCAGGGAGAGGCGGGTGTGGGCAGGGAGGGCCTGGGCCATGAGCTTCATAGGGCCGAGGAGAAGAGTCCTGGCTCAGCTTCTTCTTGTCTAGCAGTCTTGCTTAGACCCCCCCACCCCCCGAAGGCCGGATTGGGGGATTAAAGTTGCTTGTGTCCTGGGCAGTTGCTTCGCTGAGTTTGTTGCGCCTGGTGTACTGAATTGTACTGGGGAGGCCCCAGATGTTCTGTGAAAGGTCAGAAGGAGTGGGCCGCACCCAAGAACTGACAGGGTAAAGGGCCCAGGAGACTGGCTGCTCACAGTCTGCTTTACCCAAGCCCCTGCTCTGGGGGGTCCTACGGGGGCAGGGGCTGCACCCGGGGAACACTCCTGTTGAGGACAGGATGCTGTATTGTGCAGGAGTTACAGGCTAAGCCAGCCTCTGGGGGGAGACAGTAGGTGTCGAGTGATAGGTGGAGAGCAGGTACTCCACCTCGGTTCTACTAACATTCGAACACGGTTCTGTGTGGTGAGGCTGTCCTGTTGAGCAGCATCCCTGGCCTCTAATCCAACAGATGGCTGCTTCTTCCTGCCCCTAATTATGACAACCAAATGTGTCTCCAGACATTGCCAAACATCCCCAAGGTGGCAAAATTACCTTGATTAAACACCACTGATGCAGGTGAAAGAAATGCATGGATTCTTCTGGGCAAGAGAGTGGCAGCAGCTGGTAAATATGTTCTATAAAGGGCCATATAGTAAATAATTTGGGATTTTCAAGCCATGTGATCTTTGTCCCAACTGCTCAATTCTGTCCTTATAACAACGTGACAGTGGTCACAGACAATACGTAAACGGGTAGGCATGGCTGTGTTCCTATTTAACTTTATTACGGAAACATAGGGCTGCGCCAGATATGCACGGCAGCTTGCTGACCCCTGCTCCAAGGAACCCCCCTGCCGCTGGGTTTCAATCAAGCCACGCCTGGTGGGGCAATCAAGGTCAACCTCGATTCCTCCTGCCTGATAACTCCATGGAAACCTCTAGACCCATGGAAAAACCTGGAGGCAGGGGGGTGTAGCCTTGCTAACAGGCTTATCAGGTGAAGAGGAAACAGTGGGTGTCTGCAGCCCTGACCCACTGTGCAGCACCCTGAGCCCCTGGGTGGTGGGTCAGGACGTGCCCTGCAGAAAGGGACCCCATACATAAGAACCTAGGGGGGACATGCCTTATACTCAGAGAGGTGCCAGGCAGGTTATCTGTCCTGTGATCCCAAACTTGGCTGAGAACATCCATTTCCCAAGGGGTCCTCCAGAGAGGTGGGCCCATGTCAGTACTGGCCCTTTCGCCTGTGTAAAACAATGGTCTCAGCTTGTGCCATGTTCTAAGTGCCCTCTGAGCTTCTACTTCCTCAAATGCACTGCGTTCTTCTTATTATTATATTATTTTCTCATCAGTCACCAGGCCTGGCCTTCCTCTTTGTCAAGTCTTTTCCTTTAGCCTGAGTCATTTCTCACCTGGATTGTTATCTGGCTTCCTGCCTGTCCCCACTGCTGCAGCCTGTGCCCTCCGTTCCGCTTCCTTATTACTCCCAGATCCGGACTTGCCTGCACTCCTCCCCCCTAACCTTTGATTGTCTCCCACCTTCGAAGTCACCTATGCAAACCACATCTGTAGTTTTTAATTTTCTGTTGGCTATATTTTTTTAAAAAGGTAAAAAGAAACAGGTGAAATGATTTTTGATAGTGCATTTTATTTAAGCCAACACATCCCAAATGTTATCATTTCGCAATGCAGTCAATATAAAAATTAGCTATGATGATTTTAAACTTTTTTTTCCATATGAAATCTTCAAAATCCAGTGTGTATTTTATACTCGTGGCTCATCTCAATTTGGACCAGCCACATTCCGAGTGACCAACAGCTGCCTGTGGCTTGGGCAGGACAGTACAGATTGAAGGGAAAAATTCAGACTCCTTATCATGATGCAGCCTTTTGAGGCTGGCCCAGATTTGGTTCCAAGTCCCATGTCTTATACACCTCCCCTAAGTGTTTCTGCCGCATTAAGCATCTGCAACTGATCCAACACCTCATTCTCTTGGTTGTCTCCAACTCTTTTTCCAAGCCGTTCATTTGCGGACAGGACTTTCTGTCCCTTTACAGTGTCCTCCAGCTGGCTTCCCAACTCAGGGTTCCACAACGATCTCAAATCTCACTCCTTGGGCAAGATTTCCCTGACCTCTTTATGCAGTTACCAGCTTCCTTCCATGTGTAAACATTGTTTGCCTAACTAAGCACCTACCACACAGGTCTAAATTTATTTTGCAAGTCTCTCTCCTTTACTAATCTGCAAATTCTTGGTGGGCAAGATCCATTCTACTCATTTGATGTGTCTGATAAACACAAGGTGCTGACAGAGTTGAACGAATAGATGAATGAGCAATTGATCGCATGACTGAATGAATTGAGTTCCAAAAACCCTTCCATTCTAGGATTCCCTGAGATGGCTGGGGTCATTGTGATTCCCTAAGAAGGGAAACCATGTTACATCAGTGACTGGCCACATTCTGTCCGGCGTCTGTCTGTCTCACACACACACACACACACACACACACACACACACACACACACACACCTCTTGTGCCTTGCATTTGAAGCTGGTGATTATATACAGCACCTGGGAGTGTGTGGGAAGGAAAAGGTCAAAATAGGCCAATGCAGGGAAGGGAATATTTGGGGAACTTTCTGAATCAGTAGCAGAGGAGAGAGATGTCAGAGAGGGTGGGGTTCCCAGATTGTTGTGATCTGGTAAAGAGCCCCTGACCCCCCGCCACACCTAAGCATCTACAGCGCTCCCAGCTGTGACACAAGACAAGAATCTGGGGTGCTAAGAACTGTGGTCTGTGCACAGAAATGCTTGACACAGATCCCAAATTTGACACAGAAACACAGAACCCAATGGGCTTGGATACGGCACCAGTGGTACTGAAGACGGAGGACCCAACATTCTGATCTGAGACCTCTGACATCTGAGGAAGACCCAGGGGTCTTGGGGGATGGAGCATGCCAATCAGATAGAGTAAAAATGCAAGGGGCTCTCAGAGCATACAGAAGGCCAGCTCTGTATGGCTGTGACATGGTTTGGCAAGATGAGCTGGGGGAGGTGGCCCCAGATAACAAGGGCAGTGGAATTAACATGAGTTCACCCATTAGGACATGGGGGGCCCTTGCATTTCATTCTAAGTTGTGTTTTTGTGATGTAAGCACAATGCCCTAATCCATTCCTTTGTTACTGGATGCAAGCTGGAGATGTCCTCATTCCTGCATTCCTCCTTCGCTTTGGTAAGAAAACTTGCCCTCATCAGTGATTCAGTCCTCTGAGGAGCTATGTGTAAGGTAAAGGCAAGATAAATGTTTGATCTTTTTTCCTCTTATTTACCAACTATCAAAATAACAAGTCAGCGTGCCAGCTTCATCCAACTTTGATTTGCTAGTGTCATGATAAGCCCATGAGTATAAGCATATTTGAGGTGTTTAAATCCATTGCAATTATTAGAAGTTTTTCTGTCTTTGACCAATACAAGCCCATTGAGATTGGTCTGTAATCAGGAACATGTGGATGTGTCAAAAACAGTACATTTAATTTTGTTTTCAGTATTTAAAAAATGTGGGCAAATTTTCATTCTGGCTACTTCTCAAGGGGATGATGATTTAGAACACACTGAGTGGAGAAATGGGTCTCACACGTGGAGAAAGACCCCTGAGATGAGAAAATCATTCTTTTGCAACCCTTAATGCGATCACAGTAATGATTAAGGCAAGGACCATAAATGGGAGCCAAAACCATTGGGTGTTTGGTTACCGAGACACAGAGCGTGCATAAGTGTCACCCCACATACTCTAGTCACAAAGGGAACATGGACATTTCCATTGGAGAAAGTTGGCTCTCACCTCCCATGTGGTGCTCAACCCTGGCTGCTCTCTTAATGGGACGACCCAACACCGGTCCCTTCTGGAGGGCATAACAGGAAGCACTCTATGCCCAGGGAACTGGAAACATTGCACCTGAAGAAACTCAAGCTTCCAGCCTTTACTCCCAGTTCTCAGGAAATACAGGGGCCCCTGGAAAACAGCCAGACAAACCCAGACTGTGGAACGCTAGCAAAGAAAATTGGCTTGGACTCTTCAAAAAGTGAGTATCAAGAAAGAAAAGGTGTAGACACTTACAGATGAAAAGAATCCAAAGAGATCTAACAAGTAACTAGAATATAGGAACTAAGATTAGATCTTCTCTGAAGACCAAACCAAACAAAAAATGGTCACGATAAATAAAAGCCATCTTGTGGACCATTGTGGAAATTTGACTGTGAAGCAGATATTAGCTATTATGGGATTATAATAATATTCTTAGATGGGATCATGATATTGTGGCTTTTTAGGAGAACATGTCAAAACAACTGCAACTGAATTTTTCCAAACTTTTAATTTTGAAATAATTATAGATTTATATGAAGTTGCAAAGTAATGTACAAGGATGTTCCATGTACATTTTCTCCAACTTCCTCCAATGTTAGCATCTTGCATAATTATAGTACAGTATTGATACCAGGATATTGACATTGGTATAATCCAGAGCTTACTCCGTTTTCTCCAATTCTATCTGCGCTCATTTGTGTATGTGTGTGTGTGTGTGTTGTGTGTGTGCGCCAATGTAATCATGTGTATATCTTGGCACGATCACCACCAATCAAGATATTTAGCTCTACCATCACCACAAGGCTCTTTCATGGTACCCCCTTACAGTCACATCCATCCCCTCATCCCTCGCATCCCCAACCCTTGCAAGCATTAATCTGTTCTCCATCTCTTTAATTTTTATGTCCTTTCGAGAGGGTCCTAGAAATAGAATCATATAGTCGGTAACCTTTTGAGACTGGCTTTTTCCATTCAGCATAATTCCCCTGAAGTTCACTCAATTTGCTGCATGTATCAATAGTTCATTT